ATATAATACACACACAGAAATAGGTAAATGATAGAAACTCTGTCTACCTGGAATGTGTGTCGCGACTGTTGCAAATGTATGAGGAAGACGAAAGTCACCAAATGCATATTATAGTTGCCGGACAGAGAATCCAGCGTAGTGGACCTTTCAGACCAGCGGCCTCTCGCACAAATCGCCATCTTCTCTCCTTCCTACCACAGGGCAGTAGGCAATTTAATTAAAATTTTAAAAGGTGAAAGCATTGGATTTTTTTGTGTTCTTTCGCAGTTGTGATCTTAAACTTTTAATTTTTGTCTGTTTTTGCTGTCATTTTAACATTTTAACTCAATTTTTTAACTTTCTTCTTGTAGCATTTTATCTCTAATGTACTGTTCCAATGCGAGAAACGAAATTTCCTTACTGAGGATGAACAAACCTTTTTGAATCTTAAATGTTGAATCCCGAGTAGTTTATGCATGGTCATTGAATTCCATGATTGAAAATCATAGCTATAACACCAAGATCATGGTGATCAGGGCACTCGCAGCCGTTTTATTACCAAAAAACATTTCTGTCGACCATTTTGGATTTTGAATTTGTGGTTTATTAATTTTACAATAAAGATATTATTGTAGTTGCTATGCTATGGCGTTTTATATTTGTTCTATTTGATTCCTTGAACTAAAGAACTTGGGTATTGACGCCAAGATCATGGTAATGTAAGCACGTAAAGCCTTTAAACTGCCAAAATTGTGTTTTTTGGCAGCCATTTTGAATATTTTATTTAATTTTGCATTTTGACGATAAAGATGTATGCTATTGTATTTTAATAATGTTTTATTGGATTTCTTGAACTAAAGAACATGGGTATTTGACACCAAATCATGGTAATGTTAACACTTAAAGCATTTAAACTGCCAAAATTGTGATTTTTTTTCTTTGGCGGCCATTTTGATTTTTTTTCAAATTTTCCAGATTGGAGAGACGTCGTGGTTCACGCAATCTTTGGGATGGCGTACTCAAAAACCCCCTAGGACAAAGTTTCATGCTTCTCCAGAAGTGCACGTCTTGACCAACAAATGTCACATATCCGCCCCACTAACCGTTGTGCAACAACGTGTCTCTTCCGATAAATGGATACGCTTGGTTGCTATGACAGTTTCTTTATTCTCCATAATAGGCATCAATTTTGGAGTAAAGCGCTAGCGTTTGGTCCAATTTCAACTGTCTGGTTCTTTGTAGGCTGCATTACACGTTGCATAGCCTTCTTAGCCTTCTCAGTGATTTTAGAGTCTGTGTAATCGGTTGGTAGCTTACGGTATAGAAGTTCATTTTGGTAGAATAACAGTATTTCGAAGAGACGAGAGTTGAAAGTTATCACGATGTAGTTGAGCAAACTGATGCTCTTAGCTAAATTTTTTACTCTATTTTATAGATCCTACACTACCATCAACAAACATATGTTAATCCAAGTATTTTTATCATTATTATTATTATAGCCCTAATTATTTACGAATATTTAAATTTTCACATTATAATGTTTTATTACTACCATTATTTTAAATATATTATTTTACAACTATTATTAAAACATACCCCTCCCCCACTTTAAACAAAGATTAAACAAACGTCACTCAGACATCACGTACCCGTACATATCACGGTTTTTCATTACTCATCAGCCCTTATCTCAATGGACACGTTGCTCATTGTTTAATCTCACTAAGACGACATGTACCCGTACTTGTCTGGGTACCAGGGGTGGCGCCAGGATTTGCCCAACGGGGGGGGGGGGGGCGAGGGGGTGGCCGATGCCCCGACGAGGGGTCAGATTTCCCCGACAAGGGGTCAGATTTCCCCAACGAAACCAAAGTGGGCGTGGTCGAGCTTCGATTAAAAGGTCCCGAAGGTGGTCCTAAATTTTGACAAGGGTTTCAAAGGCTTATTTAATCGATTTTAGAGTTCAATAATATGTGGAAAATACATATAATTCTTTTTTCTCCCCGACGAATTGTGCTTTATCTCCCCGACCGGGGGGGGGGCTGGCTCCCCGGCCCCGCTGGCGCCACCCCTGCTGGGTACGTCTTTTATTGCCTAATTTCACTCATGATATCATGTGCCCTCATATCTATCGGCTTTTCCTTACTCATCGGACTCAATCTTAATACGCTTCGCTCATTGGTTGATTTCACTCAGACGTAATACGTACCAGAGCATGTTTCGATCTTTTCATTATACAGTACGTCATTATTCGTCTTCAACGTGCTAGGACTGTCATTAGAAAATCCCGCTATGTGTCACCAGTTTGAAAACCCCGCTATGCGTCATCAGTCAACTTATAATTTTTGGAACACACGAGAGATCATCAGATGTAAGTTATTATCACTGTTATTTAACGTTGAGACATTCTAAACAACAGAAGTTCTTTTCAGAACTACGTATATAGGAGGCTCAGCGATACCCAATTTTTTCATTAAAAATAATATACCCATTTTTACAATTAATATACCCTTTATCAATCTCAGCAACAACAGTTCTTTTCAGAACTACTTAGAAAGGAGATTCAACGATACTCGCTGTTACTATTATTATAATCATCATCATCATATCCGTTATGATTTAGGGGCAGCTGTTCAGCGATTGTTTTTATTTGTATTAATAATAATAATAATAATAATAATAATAATAATAATAATAATAATAATAATTATTATTATTATTATTATTATTATTATTATTATTATTAATATTATTATTATTAATATTAATTTTATCAATATTGTTATTATTTACATACCCGCATTATGCAAATTAATTATTATTATTATGTTAAATATAGGTTAGTTGTTGGTGACTTTTAATGAGCAGTACAACACAGTTCCTTTTAGTACACTGCAAACTTTTATTCACACAAACTGTACGTTGGTTACAATCAGCTAAATTCCAGGTTTCAGATGTTAGAGAACCCTTTTTGAGTGGAGTCAGCTCGGCTCTGTACTTTTCTTCTTTGTACTCCTAACTATTAAATTGAATCTAACTACTGACTCAGTGATATGGGGGTGTTTGCCCATTATACTTTAGGTAATGGGGGGTGTCTCAAGTAAGTCACCCCATACTTTTAGAGTTTCCAATTGGATCAAGAGAAATTCTTTCTCTATGATTTAGTAACTTGTTTACCAAAAAACTGCTAATTAAGATGTATCACAAACTTCAGAGCTTAGGCTCAAAACTGACAATCATAGATTCATAGTGTGAGAAAGGCCAAATCCAACTGACTGACTGAAAGTTATACAATGTCCAGTTATATTATTAGATTATCTGTATACTCAAGTTGGCCATTAAAACTGTCAAACCAATTTAAGGCATTTATCAGGTGAAGGGTATCGATTCCAATGGTTATGCAAGTTAATACCATTGAACCGTAATACTACATTACAATTATTAATATTAATTGTATCAATATTGTTATTATTTACATACCCGCATTATGCAAATTAATATATCAACATTATGGAAATTTATACCCACATATATAAATTAATACCCACATTATTATATTTATTATAGTTTATCATATTATATGTACCCGCATAATTATAGTTTATGTACCCTCATAATTATGAAATTGTTATGTAATTATCCATTGTTACGCATAATTGTCCTAAAATACAGTACCTTTTACTCTCATCCCATCCATTATACTCAGACATTACCGGAAATAGATTAAAAAGAGTTAGACTTAAACAACACAGTTATCCACAAACCGTTTCAGACATTCAGCATTGTAGGCTACATCGCTTGTAATAATATTTGATCAAAATTTCAGAAGATAATTAAACAAGCTTTTTATTTAGGCCTACTAAGATTTTTTTATTTAACATTTATCACATTATTGAACGATTCTATATTATGGACAACAATTATCTCAAAATTAATATTTTGCCAATAAAGTTGACTTGTACATTAACTTGACTTGTATCTTTTTTCTGTATCTTGTATCTTGAATATTTATATCGACTGCTTTGAGCAGCCCCACTTATCATTTACCTGAAGACGTGTAGGCCTAGTGTGTATAATAACGACAGCTTGTGAAAATAAAAATGCCAGTTTCCTTTAATATACTGTAGTGTTTGAATAAAATCTGGTGAAGGGCCATGTATTTTAAACTTTTTATTTATTTTACTATATAGAGGGAATAAAATAAAATACAAGCATGTATTGTTAGATTCTAAAATCAATAAAATAAGCCGGCCAATCTACACGATTTTCAGAGCCTCGGGCCCCTCCCCCACACAGGGATTCCCCTATGTGCCGCTACTACTACTAATCGACATACTGGCACCGCCTCACTGAGCCACCATTCCCCTTCCCCGCTGTACAATTCATGGCGAAGCCTGAGTTTGGCCATAGGCGTAGATCCGGGGGGGGGGAATATATCCCCCCAATATTTGACAAGGGGGATGGTCCATTGTATCATTCCCCCCCCCCATATTTTGACTATGTATGGGATAAAATGGAGCTTTACACACTTCAAAAGACTGTCACAGAATGCTATGAAATGTCTTATGCGCTTACAAAGATGAAAATTAGCATAATGTAATAATGCAATAACAAAATTATTTTATCTGGTACCAATCTAAGCTCTTCTTTCCTTAGATGTTAGAAATATGCTTGAAAAGCGAGCCATATTTTTACATTGAAACATCATACGACATCAGTAATTTTATGTCAATTCCAAGAATTTTCAATCATTCAATCATCCCGAATTCATTCGCGAGAATCGAAAGCGTCGGCTTATGCGCATCATGCGCATTCACATTTATATCTAAGTTTTGCGAAGCGAAAAATGCGCAACCAATTAGAGCTCCGGACCGAAGCGAACCGACGCTTTGATTCGCGCGAATAAATTCGCCTAATGGAAAACCAACTTAAGATGAACCGCCACTTGAAATTCGACACGTAGGCCCTAGTGATTGCAGTAGTTGTATCTTGATGACAGTGCGAGTAAAGTACAGTAAACTAGCTGTCCACCAACCAATGCGGACGCTGTTCGACATCCTTTGTTCTCCACAAACTAACTGGTCTCCGCATACGTTTTTCGCTTTGTTTTTCACAAAAACTGTACAGGAAGGTCACACGTGTTCTGATTGCTAAAAACCTTTGATAAAACCATGATGCGCGTCATCGTAATGTGTACCCCCCATGAACAAAATGGATGTGTCCTGCAGCGGTCATATTTTGAAACGCGATCACTGTTTGCGAAGTTGTTGAGTTTCAAGAGGTGCCTAGGCCTAGTCTAAAATAATTTCCTTGGAAGGTGTTGGATATTATTACTTTACTCTGATTGAAACCATGATGGATGGTGATATGGAAACTACACATTTTGAAGTTTTAGTAGACTAGAGAGGTAAGCCGTGCCACACACGTTTCTCATCTTGTGATCTTCTTGACTTTTTTCATGAGCTGGGTCTGGGTCAGAGTCTCAGACAGGCCTAGGTTACAGGAGGTGGAGGCCTAGGCCTATGCCCTCTAGGCACTACTGTACTAGGCCTAGGCTAGGATTTCTTTTTCTTTGTTTTTTGTGTACTTTCGTATATAAGATTATAATCCAAACCATAACATGCACCCCAATCGCGTTACTCTATTCATGGTACATGCATCCAATAGAAGGCCGCTAATGCACTTTCGCACCTAACTTAATTCCTAATTGTTTGACGTCAGTGTTCTTATCACAGTCACAACATATAATTATAAAACATTTTTACATGATTCAACCGCTCACAAAGTACATTTTCCAACAAAAAAGATACCTTTACAAATACAAGTTGATACAGCGTTTCCACGCTTGCTAGCACGACGAGCTGTACTGTACTTACTGTTTTGCAATTCAATCAGGTAGAAAATTGCCAGAATGTCCGAGTCAATTTTTATATTTTGAAACAATTTGAATTTGAATTTTCCCATGAAACGTCTTTGTTTAACTTTTTTGTCGTAATTGAGGTTCTTTGTCGATAAAGATACCTTTACAAATACAGGTTGATACAGCGTTTCCGTGCTTGCTAGCACGACGAGCTGTACTGGTTTGCAATCAGTTAGAAAATTGCCAGAATGTCCGAGTCAATTCTTAAATTTTGAAACAAAGTGCAGTCTTATAATTTAAATCCGATAACAAAATGTGGCATCATGAAGTACAGTACCATATTTTTGTTTGTTTTTCTTGTCGTAATCGAGGTTCATCGAATCGCCGTTTAGCATTGGCAGTTGTTCTGCTGGATTATGCCTTTAAAATGTCTAAGCCTGGGGGGGGGGGCCAGGCCCTATTTGTATGTCTGTGTACACATTTGGCTCATTTTACTAATTTTAAAGTAATTACTGTGTTGTACTGTACATGTGAATTTCATGTGCTACACATAATCAAACAATACCACCATAAAATATAACGCATAACTGAAATGACATACGAACGCAAATAAATAAGTTTTCATAAACGTTTAAATTACATAAAACTTCGCACTGTAAACTCGGACATTCTGGCAATTTCCTACAGATTGCAAGTGGCTGCTGCTCTCGTCGAGCTAGCGAGCACAGGTTTGCTGTCCTGTATGTTTGTTGAAAAGGTACTTTATGGGTGGTTGAATCATGTAAAAATGTTTTGTAATCATATGTTCTAACTCTGAGAAGAACACTCAGGTAAAAAATTTAAGATTTAAAAGTTAAGTGCGAAAGTGCATAAGCTCAATATAAAAAAAATGATATATAGCCTGTTACAGTATGTTATAGGAGGCCTAGCCTCAGGCTCGGCTAGGCCCTAGGCCTAATATTATAATGCACTTGTCAATCGAACCCGGACCTAGTGGGGACTTAGCCAGGGTTACATGCATGTGAAAGTCCCGGCCACCACCCGGCAATGCGGAGCATTGTTTTAATGTACATCCCCTTCTAAGTCCCCACCACTTACCAGCGTACGCACCCAAAACAGCGGCTACTCTAACGTGTAATAATAATGCAACATTTATATTATAAAGATCAGAGCGCTTTAAGTGTGACACTGTTGAAAAAGTGTAAATTAGACTCTGAAATAAGATACCTGTACAGTACATTAACGAAAGACAAACCCAAAAAAGAATAAAACAAAGAAGAGGATTCAAACATCACCTGCAATTTAAGGCGTAAGGCCCATCTGGACAATATTCACAGGTGCCATAGAGGTGTTTGGCACTACTATATGCCTACCTACTGTACAACCTAGTCTATTGGAAATAAATAGGTTTTAACAGCTTTCTGAAATGTTTTCTTACATGATTTCATGGCAATGTAACCATTTTGTGATGAACGAGCCAAACCTGTCATCCCGCAAATCATGTTTCGGAG